CGGCTGAATCTGCACCGTTGTTCCTGCTACTCCCATTAGGCCGAGACACCATGCAGGCCAACCTCCCCGCCAAATTGCCCACAGCAGTCACCCCTGCAGATATCGTCATAATTATGAGGACTAGAATCCCAGAGGCTCCATTGATTAATAGATTAAAATCTCCAGAAAGCTAAAAGTGAAAGTCCAAACCAAATGGTCTTACAAGGGTCTTGCACTGGCTGCAGAGGTGCACTGCATGAGGAGCTTCCAGATATATGATCTACTGCCCACGCGGGTCTCCTTGTCCTCCCCACCCCCTCCCAAGCTATGTCAAGCAGCCTTACCTCCAATGACTGGCACATGGAGATTCTCTGTGCGTGACACCACCTTGGGAAGATCACAGGGCAGCAAAATAATTGGGTCGAAGAAGGTAGAGTGAGGCGCAGCCACCAGGATGGGTGCTTGGAGCCGGGATGCCCTCTGGCCTCGCACCCGAATCCGCATGAACCCAAGCAAGAAAAACATCAGGCGACTCAGCCAGTAGACCGAACCATGGGAAACTGTGCTGAAAAGGGATGGGGAGGAAGGGGGACAAAGGGATGAGGCATTAAGAGGGCCGTGGGCAACGAGCCCAAAGGAGAGCTGGAGACATCCCCCATTACTTACTTTCTCCATCCTGAGCAGGGCTCTTGCAAGGTTTCCTCAGGCAGTCCCACCACTTGCAGCAGGGCAAAGGGCCAGATAAGGAAGAGGACCACAAAGGCCAGTGCAACCCGGATTGGGGCCAGAATAACCCCCAGCACGTAGAACTGCAAGGAAAAGAAACTCAGCGGGAGGCGTGTTGTGAGAATGCACCCCGAATCTGGTCCCTTGTTTCCTTTTGCTTTCCTTTTTGTTTTTATACTTTCTACTTTGACTTAAGGAGACTCTTAACATCTTGCACTTGGAGGAGTGTACCAGGAGTTTTCCTTTTGGCAAGGGGAAGCTGGGCTAGGTCTTGGAGAAGAGAATTGCCCTTGCTTATGAAACACAATCACCGACAACAACTTAGAGGGCAGCATTAGCTAAACATTTGGGCAAAGCGCCACTATGATTGCATACCAGCACGGTTTGAAAATGATGTGCTTTCTAATATTTGAGAGCTGAAATCTCCTAAATAAGGGGAATCCAGAGCACAATGTGCAAATCCCAAAAGGCACACTTGCAGGAAAATACTTTATCCATTTTCAAGGGGGGGGGG